GATACAAGGAGGAAAAAGGATGAAAACTAGAGATTATTAGGAAGTGACAGAAATAGACTGTGAGAATAAGTAGTAGTTGTAATGCCTGGAATTAGAGAATGGCCAAGTTTGGAAGGGACCTCTGGAGATCATCTGGTCCAACCCCCCTGCTCAAGCAGGGTCATCTAGAGCACGTTGCACAGGATTGCGTCCAGGCGAGTTTTGAATATCTCCAGGGAAGGAGACTCCACAATGTCTCTTCATTGCCTTAAATTAATCTTTTAAACTCATCTAAACTTCAGGTTTACTGCGTTTCAACTACCTTATCCTTTTTTTTAATCATTTTAAATGATTTGTTCTGAATGCAGAATGTTAAATTAGTTTATTTTGTTTTTTGTCTTTAGCAATACAAGTACTTACGTTTCAGACGATCTGTGCCTCTCCTCATTAAACACAGTTGCGTGGAATCACTGTATCTGGTTAGAAACTTCTGTGTTGCATATTACTTTTTTGGTAAGGGCTCCTGAAATTCTTTTTGTTATTATTTCTATATTCTGAAAACTTTCTTTAATCAGTCATGTGGAAGGTTGAAAACGCCTAACTTGCTCAAGACATATAGGCTTGTTTAAAAAGTAGACAGGTCTAACACCTCTCTAAAATAGTGAGAAAAAGCACGAAGCTTGAATCTTAGCAGTATTTGCATGATGGCAAATCTTGCAGCCTAACAGAAGCTTGCGTAGTATATGAGAAATGTCTCTTCTCCAGAAAGGTTGACACCTTCTATAAGAATTCCTGATCTAGCTGATAGTACTGTCATCTTTAATATTAAAAGGTGAGGACAGTGGGGGACACTAGTTTCCGAACTGTAACCTAAAGTCCGTGTTTGGATGCCTTACTAAAACCATAGTACTTCTCTGGATTACTGAGTCTCCAGTGATCTTTTCTGTGGAGAAAACTTGTTGCAGGCAGCTGTGAAGTAACTTCTCCATAAGAGGAGCTACGAAACCTTACCGTCTGGTGTTCAACAAGTGCCTGTTTTAAATCCTGATGTTTCAGGCCACTGTTTAAATGTCAGTCCTGATCTGTGACAAAAAGCCTGCAAACGTGAAAGCATAACGTAATTCAAAAGTTTTGTTTTAGTCTGTAACTTATTCCCCATTTTTTCTTTAAATATTCATGATATTATAGTAGTTCCATTATAATGTGCAGCACAAACATCTCCATGCTTTGGACTGCTCCTTCCATTGCCTGGTACTGGAGTTACAGCCTTACAGAGCTGAACCTGGCGTACCAGCAGTGTGTGTGATGACAGATACAAACGTGTGTGTGTGTCTATATGGAAGTTGCTAGGTTTTCACCTTTTTTTTTAATGTAAGACTGAACACTTTGCTTTTATTCTCCTATGCAGTTTGTATTATTTGGAAAAAATTGGGGAGGAAAAGGTGACAGCTCCCTCCCAAGTGAAACCGAAGCTTGCTCTTTAGGGCTGGACTTTCTAAAAATCAGTATTTTGAAAGCTATGGTTGTATACACTTAAGTATACACTTAAATGATGTCAAAATATGATAAAATGATTTCCATCTTATTTACATTAGGGGATAACTTAAAAATGTAGTGTGTTCTATATTGTTTTCCATTAAATCTTTAAGAACACGCTGCTGCTGCCAGGACTGCAGATGAATATGAAATTGCTATTAACTATCTCTTGTCAGTGAAAAATACAAATAACTCCAATGAGACTTTCTGAGAAGCTGGAAATAAAATTTGGGATAGGATCTACATCTTTCGCTGTGCATTTGCTGGCCTGAAGCCTTTTTGCATTCTCTTGTTTCAGTCTCTAAAGAGGGGGGAAAAAAAAAAAAGGACGGATTGTTCTCTAGAACATGCATGTTAAAAGGCCAGTCTTTGTCTCTATATGTTATTCTACTTTAGACTTCTTTCTGGCCTATTATGTACATGTTTGGCAGTGTCATATTAGTTTCACAGTGTTTCTTTTTGGGCCTGTAGGTTATGTCCCAAGGGTATGGATAAGTACCACAATGGATCTTCATATAGACAGGTAGGTAGTACACTGTGTTAAAAACTTGCAGGAGAATATTGCCAACAGCTGCCTTTGCTAGAGAAGTCTGGCTTAGCGACTGGCTCTTTGCATGTAGGAGGATCCAGTTCCATGCCTCCCAGTACAGCACATAGGGTACTGTATGCTTCCGAAACGGCTCCTACCCAGAATGTGGTGGTTCCTTTTGGATGCATCTTATAGATAGTCATTAAGAAATCCTCACTGGTCTCCTTCATCTCTGTAATTATCTAAAATATTAAAAAGGCTTAACTGTCCAAATCTCATACATGTTTTATCTGTTTTTCTGGTATTTTAGATTTTTGTTTTTTTTTTTTTTATGGCTACCATTCCTTTTACAATAGGGAAGCTGGAGTTCTTAATACCTTAATTGACTGAAATTGTGATCATAGTTACTTATTTCATATTTCCTTTTCTTTTATTTCATTACTTACATGTTTCAGGATCGTAGTTACTGAAAAATTAAAAGGAATAAATGGGATTTCGTAATATCTTTGAGAAGCAGTTTTTGGCCCCCAAAAAGAGTGTAACTCTATTCTTGAAAATGTTGCTACTCTAATCTAACCTATAGAGTAGGTTAGAGTAGCTTAACTCGAACTTACAGGTTACTATAGGCATCTTCCATAATAAAAATACTTACGTCGTCTTGTTTTATCTGCAGTAAATTGCATCTTCTTGACACTCTGACTGGCTTACTGGATCTCTCCTTGCTCTACCATGCCTGGTTGTGTGGAGTATTTCTCCTGATTACCTGGTACATTGCATGGTTACTCTTCAAAATTTATGCTACAGAGGTTAGTACTTAATGACCGTACTAAAGGCCTAACATCAGTGTTGTGCAGATAATACTTTCTTTTCAAAAATAGTTTTGCTGAGAAATAACTTAATTATGAATTCTGTTCCCCCCCCCCCCCCAAGCCCACACTACAGATATCTGAACAGTCAAGAGAGTCCTAGGGGTTAACTGACGTTCTTTTTTTTTCGTACAGCAAGACAGCTTGTGCTGCTCACAAAATTAACACGTTTGCAGCAGTACTTTATTTCCACCTCTACTTCTGTTTCTATGTTCCCCTTTTTCTGGTCATATGATTGATGCTCCATGCAGGTGCTCCTTGGGCCACCCTAGTAAAGAACTTTGTGCTGCCTGGAGTCTGCACCAACTTCCTTATGTCGTTTTGGTATAAGAGACAGCTGAGCCAGTAAAGGGCCCATATGTGTCTTGCAGAGCTTATTAGCTTTATCTGTTTTTCCATGTAGTGATTTTTGTATTTGAGCTTGAGACTAGCTGGAGAATTGTGACAAACAGCTGTAGGTTACGTAGGAAGATAACTTCTGGAAACTCTTTAGCTCTTGTGGAAATTTTACAATATGAAAGAAACCAAAACACTGTCAGTATTCTGCGAGCTAAGCTCTAGAAATCTCAAATTTAAACAAGCCATCAAAGTACATAGCCCTCCAAAGCAGAGACATGTTAATAGAATTCAGGCTATGGTATTAAAATAGACTTCAAGCAGTTTTGGGAATTAATACACTTCTTGTTTTTTCATTTAACCATTAAGCTGCAAATTAATATGGCTAAAAAATGCCATTTAAATATATAAAAAATTGCATTAGAGTGAAGTTGAGACCATGACTTTAAAAAAATGAAGTTTTGCAGACCAACAAGACTTTATCTTTATTGGCTAATCCAGAAATTCTGATACAAAAATACAGAGCACAAAAAGTTATCAATCTCTTTAATGAAAACTTTTGTTAGACTGCAGGTTAACAGCAAAATGAGTGGGATTCAAAGCCTGGACTAATGCATTCTTGAAATGCAAAGGACCCTTATGGGATAAAAAGGCATATTCAGTGCTTTTTAGAATGTTAGCTTTAATTAAAAGGTCTCTAGTTATTATGATTGCATGGAGAAAAGATTAATAGCAACTCAAGCATAACGGATGTAATAATGTGTTAGAATCTGTAGACAGGCTGGAACAAGAGCTCTGAGGTGTGAATGTCCAATTTCAAAGGATAATAGTTGAAGCGCTGGTGAGCGCTGCCTCAACACCACTGATTATTGTATTGCTTATAAAGCTATGCAAGACAAAAGAAGCATCCAGTTGTGAAGGTATAAAATGGATGTTGCCCTTTTGGCTGTTAAAGAAGAAAGATTTACTTACCCATGTGAATTTTCTTTTGATGAGTTGAACAGCTTCCAGAGCTGTTTGTAAATAGTTGCGTGGTGTAAACTGAAAAGTCACTAGAGAAATTGTTCATTTAGTTCAGTGAAATCACTTTATTAACCCTTTATAAGCAATTGCTACTATAAGTTTCGACTTAGCACTTGGAAAGGGAGGAGAAATAATTGAAAAAAATATTTTCAAAGATAGGTTGCTGTAAATGTGAGACTGACGGATGACCTGTACCCGAACATGTTCATATTAAATAGTTTAAAAAATATGCAGTGTTTGATACAATTTAAGCACTGTTATTTGCATTTTATACATTGTAATTGTGAGAATAGGAAAACAAATTCTGTTTAAGGACAGAATATGAATCTTATGATTAAAAATAAGAATTCTGTAGTTTGTTAGTGAAATAATACAAGTGAAGAATTTTAAAGTCTTTTATTTGATTATGGAACCCTCAGTTTTTCACCTGGTTGGTCAAGACACTCTTTTAAAGACAGGCATTACATACAGTTTCCCCCATCTAACTACAGATACGTAGTTAGGTGGATTTCTCTTTCACGTGATACGATGCCCCTAACTACTAAAGGTATGGGTAACATGGAAGGTATTTGAAGATAAATACAATGAAGGATGGTAGCTGGATTTGCTAGGACTCCTCAACTTCAGAAGTAACTGCTGAAGTCTTTTCTCTATGTTAGAAATTACAGGCTAATCTATAGTAAATTGTGTTTTTGTGGTTGTTCGTTCGTCTGATAAATACCAGCTTGGATGTGGTCTTTCATCAATTTTTCTCATGTTTTGCTCTGTGTAACACAACTTCTGATGTTTATATTTAGACGCATCACTTTCCTGTCCAACCAACTTTTGCTGAGGAGACAGACCAGTGCCTACCTAAAATTTTAAACAGCAACCCTCCGCTCATTATAAAGGTAATGGAATCACCACCGTATTTCCAGCTGGATGTGTGCTGAAAAGGTGTTTCTCAAAGCCTGTAATCAGATCTTCTTTGTAGCAGTTATTTTAAGCTGTTTGTTCTTCTAAAAAGCTGCCTCAGAACACTCAACAAGGGAGTAACGCTTAGTGCTGAAAACCTGTTTGGTAGTGACATCTGCTGGTGCTTACCATGCTATGTTACTCGAGCTGGAGAGAGACTCATTTAGTTAGAAGTGAGATGTATTTAATTTGTCTGCAAGAAAAGCATGTTAGTATACTAATGCTAAAACAAAATGTTTATGACATTCAGTTTTTAACTCATTTAACTTCAGGTCTCTATCAGATGAACAGTTATTTTTCAAATCTTTGTACACTTAACACTTTGCCTGTACTGCATGTATTTGTGTTCTTACATGTGCGATCTTTCTTGAAATAAAAAATGATTTCCATGTTTATATTGGGAATCTTTTTTTTAAAGACAGTGCTATAAAAGCTACTTAATCTGTGAATAAAGGAGAGTAATTTTGGTCTGACTGTTAATATTAACAAGATTTATTGAAATAATAATTCAAAATGTGAGAACTCATACAAGAAGTATAAAGAAAGATGATGATAATCTCTTGCACATGCAAGTTCCACGTTTAATGATGATAGAGGTCCCTGATAAGCCTAGAAATGCAATACATTGCAATTCATTTGAACACTTTTTTTTAAGGTTTGCTGCATGATCAAAGGATGATTAGGGAAGACTAGAGGCCTCCTACAGCACAGTTAAAGATGCAGGAAGTCTAATTTATAATCTCAGCACTTACTGAAGTATCCAACTTGTAGTTGGGTCTTGTCATAGTTGCAAGGTGAGGGAAATCCAATTGTTTTGGGATTGCCATGTTCACTCCTTAATAAGATAGGAAAAGCTGTTGTTCTGCTTAAGAAAAAAAGCATGTTTGGTACTATATGACAAACTATGCAATTGAACTATGGCTTGCAGAAGGAGTTCTTACCTTAGATTTTTGAGCTCTTTCTGTTGTTGTTTAGCTGTTAAGCCTAGAAACCGTGTGTTAGATCATCTTTACTGATATTTCATTCCTTCTGCTGTAAAGTTCTCTGTGAAGCTCGCTCTTATGCAGCAGCTTGGTCCAAAGTGATTCTAGAGATGTGTGCAGTCCCTTGCCTCCTTTTTCTCTGGCATGGGGCTGTGGTTTAGTCTGTGTGAACTCATTCTTTGTTAGGGATTGCATTTGTAGGGATAACACTTTTATGGAAACCCAAAGGATTTTTGAATGCACTAAAACATTTTCCTTTCTTTGCAGTTTTTAGCCTTACAAGACTTGATGTTACTTTCTCAGTATTCTCCTGTTCGTCGACAGGAAGTCTTTAGTCTTAGTCAGCCAGGTAACTATAAAACTCTTCCATGTTGATTCCTTTTTTTAAAAAAAAAAAAGAAGTGTTAATCAAATGCTTTTGGAAGTAATGAGAGTGAGGCATGCTACATAAGCCAGGAGGCCTTATAAGTAAAAGTACCCCATGCTGTGTTTTCCAGAAGGATGCTTAATTATCTATATTCATATTGTTTCATCTACTAAACTCAACAAATACTTGTGCCTGTTGTTTGATTTAAATGACATCCATGAGGAAACACAGGTCTCGGGTACTGAAAGCAGGGCATTCTTGACATCACAGTTCTAATAGTCCAAACTGAATAATCTAAAAGATTTGTATGAAAGCCTAATGTTCAGATGTGAGTGAGATATGAAATCAAACATAAATAGTAAGTCACCACTAGAGTTGTGAAAGCAAACAATGGCTATGATTTCAATTAGCGTACAAGCCTCTTGACGTATACAAAGATATGGCAGAGGAGGTCAATTAAAACTGCCTAGAAGCCTTCAGGAACTTTGTTGCACTTCATCAGGCATTCTAGTGTTTGTACTACTTCAAAGCTGTTTGTCATCACAGTTGATATTGCTTTTGTTGATTTTTTAGTTGTTTAGTAGATTTCAAATCTGATGGGCTGAACTGCCTATGTTTTCTGCGTACTTAGGGTGTTTCCCTGAAGTCTTTTAGAGTTATCCATTCACTGAAAAGATAGACTTTGTCCATGTTTTCATTTTCCTCTCAGTATTTAACTAAACTGTTACAGTGGAAATGCACTGTGGCTTCTTAGAAGTGGAAAGGTACTATAGCTTTTCAAGCTTATGCTGGAAGCAGATGGGCTATCAGAATAGATATAATGATGCACATCTTGATTAAACATGCCTACTGCATTTCACGTCGTTCGTGTGCGTACTGCTAGGTGGGCACCCACACAACTGGACTGCAATATCAAAGGAGTGTTTAAGCCTTCTGAATGATCTGACCCAGAGGCTGATCACACAGCAGGAAGCTGCAGCAGCAAATGGGAGAGCAAAGCAACCATCAGGAGAACTGAAAATATCTCCACAGACTCCAGGTATCTGAGGGAAAGGTTCACAACAGTTTGTAAAGCCTGAAAATACTGATAGATTACAAAGGTATGCTAGCCTAAGTTAAACTGTGTGGAGAAATGAGTTGCAGGTTTTCCTTCAAATAAATGTAAATTAAAAAAAGTGCCACTCCTCCCACCCCCGTTTCATTTTAAATATTTTTGTCATAATAACACCAAAATAACTGAAATACACTCTTTGCAAGTTTTCTGTTTCAGTTTTACTGTGCATGATGTTTTGTACAGTAAAGTTTTTCACACTTACATGAATTAGGAAGTCTAGTAATTACATTTTTAGTAAGTGGTAGAACTTGATGCAGGGAGAAATGAAATCTTGCCAGGAGACATTTTGTAATTTGCATAGCTGCTCTTACCAGTTTAAACTAATCGTAAAATTAGTTTTTGTTTTGTTGTTGTGGGGACTCTGAATATCTGTGTATGATTTACTCGCTATCACTGTAGAATAAGGAAAGCCAGCCTGGCTCTTGAGCCATGGGCAGCTTGCAGGCAGTTCAGGCGTTTCACATGCCAGACTTGTGCCTTGTGACTGGCAGCAGAGCTGTGCTGGTACTAGGGATGCCAAATGACTGAACCCCTTAGCAGCCAGTGCCTAGGATACAAGTGTACTCTTGCCTCAGGACAGGGGCTTGTGTAGGTGTTTTAAAGGTGAATCGCTTCTCATGCTGCTGTTCCCTCTGTTCTCTTGGATTTTGTGACTGACGTGGAGCTCTCGCTAACAAGCAGAGTAGAAGAATGGCCATCCCTATGGAGGGACTGTCTTTAAGGAGGCTTTTTTCTAGTGCTTAATCCTAGAAGCGCACTGTAGATGTATGTGTGAGGGCATAGTAGTGCTAGTTAGGAAAAGAGGAAAAAAAATCCACTTATCTCTTGCTGTTTTTAAGTCAATGAACTTGAAAAGAAGCACACATCAAAATCAGTGTGGAGTGTTTTAAAGACCACAGTGGAAAAGATTTATTAAAAGCTCTGAAAATACATTAGTTGCAACCAAATAACAAATGTCTTCTATTTCAGCTGTTTCACGTGTGCCAGCCTGTTTGTCTTCATGCACTGTGTCCTTTGTCATTAGGAGCCATTGTGACAGAAGACATGTCCTTCCAGTTACAGAGGTCAAATGTCATTCCCAGAGCCCCCATGCCTTCCCTGGTTAAATCATCCCTGTTGCCTTTAAAGATGTCACCTGGGTCTGATATTGGTACACCTTTCAGTTCACCTGTTTCAAATTGCAAGGTGGGAGTTCTGGATTTAAACTCTCCTTGGCATGGATCAGTCCAAAGTCCTCATGTTATGAGAAGAGGACCAAAGCTGTGGACATCACATTCAGGTAGAGATTTTTCCACTGTGTTTGTTTTTAGTCATGTGGTCATTAGTTTAGTAGACATGTTGATAGAGATCTGTATCTTTAGGATAAAAGTGACAGTAACCAATCTTTCTGAAGAGGTTTTACTTCTCTTGTAGATCTGCAAATGAATGGTTCTCACCAAGAATCCTTTCCAGTGCTCTCTGTTGCAAGAGCTGGCAGTGAAGCAGTACAGCCCAGCTTTATTTACACATGGCTTCAGAACAAGCAAGAACAGGTAGAGTAAACGTTGCGGTACAGATGGGTTACAGCTAGTGCAGCTTAGGTATTCTTCCTTCTTGAAAGAATTTTTCATTTTGTTTAATGAATACTTTCTTCAATTAGCTTGCATAACTTAAAATCCTTCCTCCACCCTTCCTTCAGTCCCTTTGTACTGCTTCTTGTGAGAAGATGTTAGAGTTGAGGTGGGCCAACTATGCATACCTTTAGTTAATTAAAGGCAACATTTTTTATCTTATTTTGTTTCTTTTCAGATAAAAAGCTTCTTGTCAAAACGAGTGCTGATAATGTATTTCTTCAGCAAGGTAATCATTGTCTTGTGACTGTGCAGCGTGCCCTAGGAATGCATGAGCATATGGCTTCTGCTATGGCACTATGTACTTTTTTTTTTTTAATATATAGTAGAAACATTTCTGAAACCTCTATCTTATACTAAGTTTTTACAACATTCTTCAGACTGTAAAACTTTATACTTACTACTGCTATGAAGCTCACAGTATCCATACCTACATTACCATACATGAGGCGATCTCATAAATGTGTACAAGTATCTGAAGGGGGAGTGTCAAGAGGATGAGGCCAGCCTCTTCTCCGTGGTGCCCAGCAACAGGACAAGAGGCAATGGGCAGAAACTGAACCACAGGAAGTTCCATCTGAACCTGAGAAAAAACTTCTTCACTGTGAGGGTGACAGAGCATTGGAACAGGTTGCCCAGAGAGGGAGTGGAGTCTCCTTCCCTGGAGATGTTCAAAACCCGTCTGGATGTGATCCTGGGCAATATGCTCTAGGTGACCTTGCTTGAGCAGGGAGGTTGGACTAGATGATCTCCAGAGGTCCCTTCCAACCTAAACGATTCTGTGATTAAAAAGAGTAATAATACTTGTTTAAACTGAACTGTAAATGTACTGAAAGAATTCTTTATAGTTTTCCTCTATGGGAGAAGTGGCAGCTGGGATGTTGGGAATTTCTCCTTATGAAATGTTGGTACTAATATTAATACTACCTTTCAGGTGAAATTGGAGACTTAAATACTACGTTTAGTTTAGTTTACACAGAGAAACAATCGAGCATTTCTCTTATAATAGAACAATAAACTCAATTGAGTTTTACAGAAACTTCCCCCTCTACCTTAGATCTTTTGTTTTTTTGTAGATTTAAATGTTTTCTGCAAGTGAAATCTTGTTTTTACATGCAGATATTTTTTTTGTGCATATAAGAATGGTTCATGCTTACATATACAGCAGTGTTTTCAGGTTCGTTGTAGACTGGCGTGGAGACTGAGTAAAGCAAGATCATGAAACAAGCACGGGGAAATTACCTAGTCTGTTTAGTCCTTGGAAACTAATTAGTCAAACATACTTCTTTTTTTTTTTTTTTTTTAACCCCTCCCCCTCCAGAAGTCCCAATCATAGTTACAGGTTTGTGGGCAGCTCCTGTTTGAAAGGAATTTTTGTTTCTTGAAAGGTCAGATTTTTCTGTGTATTCCTTGAAGTCTATCAGCCTTACTGGTCTTTTCTGACGGGAGAGACGTGATTTTTGTCATGTGTAATACCTTGATTGAAACCTGCAATTCTGGTGATATTTAAATTAAGTGTGCTCAGAGTTCTTTGGTTTCTTCTCAGCATCCAGAAGCCTCCATCCAAGCTGTCTTTTCCGATGCCCAAATGCATATCTGGGCATTAGAAGGTAAGCAGTTTCTGTTCCAATGTGTTCTGATCCATTGTCTCTTGCACTACAACAACTAAAAGGATCTAATTCCAGACTTGCAATGCCCTGTGCTTTATAAATACAGTAGAAGACAGATCCTTGAATCTACTTTGATGCAAAAATGTGACTGCATTTCATGTATACACATGAATAAAGATCCAAGTTATTTGTTAGCTTTGAGATTCCGTGCAAGATCTTCTAGTTTGTGTTCAGTAGAGGTTCGGGTGTTAAATTTGAAGATCCCTGAATTTGATTCCTTTAGCTTATCTCCCACGTGAGGCCACGTATCACTTCTATAGTCTCTTCAGTAACAAATTTATTATGGCCTTTTACGAAACAGCTTTTCTGAAGAGAGGCTCTGAATCTTTCCCTGTTAATCATGGTCAGTTGAACTAGAGAATGAGAGAAGTTGCTTGAGATTTCAAAATTGTAAGAACCGGCTATAATTCGATGCGACAGTGTCAAAGATTATGGATATCAACATACAGATAATTATAACAGTCCGTGTGTGGTATTTTTTTTCTTTTTTTTTTAAGACAAAGAAACAAACCAAAGCACTCAGGTAGTAAGTTAACAAACAAACAGAAGGAGATGGTCTGGAGAGAATTAAAATAGCATTGAGAATATATGGTTGTACTACAGGATTTTTTGGTCTGTTTCAAGTTCACAAGCGTATACCAGCACTGATGCAAACTTTTGGACCTTGCAAACTTTTGGATCTTTCTTCCTAGGTTAGATATTTTACAGGCAGATATGATGGGCTGTGTTATATTGAAGGTGATGGGTGAGAAAGTATAGAGCTAAGAGATGGGAGTCATAACTTCTGCTTTTATGCAAAACTGTATTTATCATTTGCCTTTTAACTAAAGGCTAGAGGGCTGTACTGTATTTTTTAAAAATATGATAAACAAGTAAACTGAGAAAGCATTTTAAAGCTAGATCGAGATTAGTTAAGAGTTCTGCCTGTTCAAGAGAACCAAGCAAGTTAAATTATCTGGAGATGTTTCGTGTATGGCTGACTGGAGGAGTGGAGAGAGGGAGCTTTTAGCTTTGATTTTACATTATTATTTTCCTTCTCTTACCATCATCCTCGAACTATTGTATACATTTCAAACCAGTGACTAATTTAGTCCTGAAGCAAGTCAAAGTTAAGGTAACTCTCATCTGGCTGCAGTAAATCTTGAAGAATTTCACCACACTAGTGAAATCTTCAAGTAATAATAGTATCTGTCCTATTTTTGTTAATGCTTCAGAAGTTAAGAAATCAAGTAAAAGTTAAGAATTCAGTAATTTTGGCGCTCTCTCTCTCTCTCTCTCTCTCTTTTTAGGTCTATCTCATTTGGTAGCCTCCTCATTTACTGAAGACCAATTTGGAGTTGTCCAAACTACGCTGCCAGCTATTCTGAATACTTTACTGACTCTTCAGGAGGTGAAAACCATTAACTTTTCTGTAATGCAAAACAAGTTTAGGGAGGACAAGGCATTCTGTTAATTTTATATTTTGACATTGCTGACCAATCATAAGATTGAAGTTCTCGCGACTGTAAATTGCTTCTGATCTGCAGTTAACCTAAGCAAAACAGGTAGTTACCAGTTTGTTCGTTAAGAAACAGCTGAATGAAGTCCTTGTTAGACTTTTCTCTTCTACTTAGGAAGAAGCAAGTTCTTAATGGAAAGTTTCATTTCAAAAATAGTACTAAGTGCTCAATTTATTTAAGGGATAGTCCTTAAAATATAGTATTGTAATTGCTTAGTTAGGACTTTAGCTGGCTGTGCAGGTGCAACATGGAACACTTGGAGATACTGCAAATCACGGGAGATAAGATTTGTGTGGTGTTTCTGTACTAATACTATGGCATTACTCAAACGTTTCCAATCATCAGTAATTTATTTAAAAAAAAAAAAAAAAAAAAGGTTTTCCGAGGCTGCTCTTGTCCTATTGATATAATCATTTTATACTGCCTTAACGGAGATTCTTGGAAAGAATTTTGAGGTTTTAAAAATTCTTCAGTGTAAGTAATCTATTCCAAGAACAGGCAGGGGGGGGTGGGGGGCAACGGCGACCACCACCTTACTTCTAAAAGGTTAGGCTTGTTCTTCTACTGCAGCGTGTGTGTTCTGGTTAGCATTTAAGACTCGTTACCAGATTAACAGAGAATCTTATTACACAGAACTTGGTTCTCTGCTCGTGTTGATGGCCAGGGAATGCAAGGTTAAGCTCTGTCTCTGATACACTTGTGTGTGTCTTTGTGGAATTTCTGAACTTGTGGGTGGTTTTTTTGCTTTATTTGACACAAACACGTTCTATTATGAAATAATTGAAAAGAACAGATGAAACAAGCTCATATTGTTTTTTTCTAAATTAGGTTGTAGACAGACATTTCAAACTGCCTCATGTATCTAGCAAACCTCCCAGGATTTCAGGAAGTCTGGTGGACACATCCTACAAAACACTACGATTTGCACTTAGAGCATCTTTGAAAACAGCACTGTACCGGATAACTACTGTCTTTGGAGAACATTTGAAGTAAGGCCTTTTTCATGATTGTTTTCTAGCTAAACTTACTTTAAATGTTATTTTAGGACCTATGAAAAGGGAAGTTTGTGCACAAACTCCTTCAGGGCCTTATTTTAAGATAGCATTTTAATATTTTTGGATTTGTAGAACCTTACAATTGTTGTGTAGCAATATGGTCCCCCTTAAAAACTTAATTTTCACAGATTTCTGGGCAGCTTTTCTTGGTCACTTTTCATGGACTCTTTAGAAGCAGTCCATACAAAAACCCCACTCACGTAATAAATTTTAGCTGTTGGGGGGGAAAAAAAAGTAAATCAACGAGACACAACTATCTGCTCTGTAGAGAGAATCCTAGGAGGAGTCCAAATAGTCCGATACCCCTGTTTCTTGGTTGTCTGGTGATGGCTTTTTGTCTGCTGCTGTCAAAGCAGGCAAACTTTCACACTTGGCCTCTGAATGCATGGGACTGCAAGATGCTTCTTCAGCATCTATTCATCTCTTTTTTTGGGGGGAGAAACTGACTCTACTATATATCTGGCACTCCAAACTGAGATGTCATTCAGTTTGGAGTGCCAGATATATAGTAGAGATTATTTTTAAAGAGATTTTTAACTTGAAAAAAATCATTCTTGCAAGGTAAGCAATTTGCTTGTATGTGTTAAATGGTAAAGAAATAGAATATGTCTCTAGGGGCAAGTGTCTTTTAGTAGGGGAAGGCGTTGAGCAATCCTAGAGGCTTACAATTGACAATTTTAAGGATTGAAATCTAATCTTTTTTTTTGGTCTTGGAACATAGCATTTTCATACAGCTACGTTTTCTGAATTTCAACTTTGGTGTAATTATTGATTTCTATGTATGCTTGGTTTTGACATGAGGCTTTATTTTTGTGGTGTATATATTACCTTTAATGTAAAACCTTGTGTTTTGCATTTATTTTTAGTGCAGTGCAAGTGTCTACAGAACATAAGAAAAGACTTCAGCAATTCTTGGAATACAAAGAATAAATAACTTTTGATACAGCTACAGTTTGTGTTCAGCACTCTTGGTAAGAAGAAAATGGGACTAATGAGTTTCTATCTTGGCTATTTGGAAAAGCATGTGGAAATACAAGTCACAGCACAAAACTCTTAGAATTGTGCAGAAACTCTTCTGGTTTTGGGTCAGTTCATCTTTTGTATAATAAAACTTTTAAAACCTCATTTTGCTGTCTTTTAATATCACTTACAAATGAGAATGTCAGTTCTTATTCTGTGTGAGATTGCTATCAACATTTGAGATGATTTGAGTTACTTTGCCACTTAGAGCCTTCGCTGATTTTTCACTGTGTGCTCTTACCCTACCTTTTCCTGTTAAAGGGGTGAGTAGAGATTTACATTGATAATTAGTGTGCCTCAGTGTTTCATAAATCTAGTCGATAACACTTTTAGTGCAGATGAAGTACATACTTTAAAAGTAGGAAGCAGATGTGCCCAGGAATAAAACGTGCTACTCTTCTGTAAGAGGAAAATGTTCCTTCAGAGTAAAATGGGTGTGCAGAAAGGCATTGTTAAGAGACAAATACTGTCAATGTTTTATACAACTGCTCTTGAAAAGCTAGCAGCCTGGATTTTATCTTTAAGGTGACCTTTGAAACTAAGTTCTGATCTACACTGAAACATGCAGGAAGCATTATAGTATTTAGTAAATCTCTTCCGAGTAGTGATCCTGTGAATTAATTCCAAGAAGTTTGGATCAACAGCCTTCTGTTAAGGTAGATGGGAAGAATGCTGGTTTGTAACATATCCAGCTTTTTCAGAAACTACCAATAATGTGCATTATTTTGAAAAATGTGACCTTTCAAAACCTCTTTTAAATTCTTCATTGGGAAGCAAACTTGTCCAAATTGTTTGAAAATGTGAGCTACCTCCTTTTTAAACTTGCTCTAGTTATTGTCATAGCTATGCTGGAAAACATAAATGTAACATGAAGTGCTGAGATGTAGCTGCAGTACCTTGCATGTAACTTTCTCAGGATAAAAGTTAAATGGTCTTATAAATGAACTTAGTGCGATGAGGGGAAAGCAAACCTGGATCATTTTCTTTCCATTCTCTTTGATGCTGCTAGTCCTGTGTTTTACTGGAGTACTTAAGATCTGAAGATGGCCATGATGTCAGTTATGTTGGTGTGATGACTTGATCGGTTGGTAGAGTGACTGGGTAATAATTCTTTAGTGACCCCTTATGCTTTTGGAAAAGAAGGAGGGGAAAAAAAAAAAAAAACTGCGTATTGCTTTCTTGCCTCAGAACTGAGGCAGTTAATTTTCTTGAAATGCAGGTACTGCATGTGTTATGATATCCAGATTGAGCTATACTGTTCCCTTTAGACTGAGGTAACATGCACCAAACACTGTAAGGTAATGGACAGCCTTTTATTATATTTAAAGGTTAAACCTTAAGTCTTTTAAAGTTTCCTCAGGCTTAACTTTTACCACAGATTTGACTATTACGTCCAAACCTCTTGCCTGTTTGGCTTATTAAATAATTTAATTTGCTCATGATCACATTTGCAATGTGCACCTGGAGTTTAAAATAGTGCTTTAGCTAGTACCTGAGGTGTAACTGTTGACCCAAATACTTTGGTTGAAAGTTTTAAAAATTTTTTTCATGCATTTAAACAGGTGCAGAATGTTTTTTTTATTGCTATGGGCATTTTGTGCAATACTCCCACAACTAGAAGTTGTAAGTTGTAATTACGTGCTATGGCTGTCAGCAGGAGGCTTAAAATGCAGACTTCTTTTTGACGCCGAAGTGCTTGAGGTCTGTCCTCCCTGCGTTGCAGTGGGGATTTGCACACATCTGCTAATGTGCATGTGATTCATGGCATTCTCAGTGTATGACAGAAGAGCTTTCAAAAGCTGATTGCTTTGTGGTTTCTTTAAAAGCTACAATTCTTAAAAAGCTGTAGAGCCCTTCCTCCCCCTGCCCCCTAGCTTTTACTTAAAAACAAAATGTCCATCCTTAACGATATCGCATGCTTATTAATATAACTGAACAAAAATTTAAAGTGTATGTTGGGTGCCCCCTGAAGATGCAGTAACTGACTGACATGATTCAAACAGAAATAGAGATAACATGGTAGTTTTGACTTTTGGCATAATTATATTCCTCTGTGACAAACAGAGGTGGTGTGTTGGCATTTTAAATCCTCTTATATACTTCTGCCTTAACATGAAAATAGCTTCTGTGAAACTTCTGTGAGGTATGGGAAGAGTCTCTCCAGTTCATCTCTGCATTCTGAGTAACGAGGAAAAAATCATAAAGTGTTTTTACAAATGATTTCTGTATAACTTCAGTTAAATAGGATCCCCCAAGCCTGATAATTCTTAATCTGTTTAATCAGCTTCTCTAAACTAAGCTGCACCTTCTTACTGGATTGCCTCCTGGATTCACAAGTGAAACCAATAGCATTTGTTTGATTGCTGTTCTGGTAACCTTGTGAACTACCTGTCTCTCCCTACAAGTTAACTGTAATCAAGAATACCTGAAGTTATTTGCACTGCAGCTGCAGAAAGGTAGGTAGCTGACTGGTCAGGTCTGTTTTCCTCTTACAATTTTGTAATGAAATAGAGGTTTTTAGCTCTTAAGCATTGTCTCTTACAAACTTGAACAAACTCTTATCCTGCTTCATTTTCTGAGACAGAACTGAAAATTCAGGCTACAGGTAGACAAACATGGTAGCTTGCCCTAGGCCTTGTAACTGTTGCACACTGTTGTATCTGAGGAAGCTGGGCAGGATTTGCTCCCTCACTATGAGCACTCTGCTCTTTTGGAGAATTGTGTTGATGACAATTGTTGCTTGGGGCTTGAATGCACTCTTGAAGTGATCTCAATTCTGTCTCTGCCATCTTTGAACAGAGGCTGTATTGGCTGTACTTTGCTCAGTGTCTCTAAAGCCTCTAACTTTCCAACAGTTTTCATGAGGCAGCTTTCTTCCTACCTCCTGAGAAACATGCATGGCTCCTAGGTCGACACAAGCACCCCTGCAGTTACATCCAGCTGCAGCTATGGAAATCTCAGCCTCTTGCTGCCGAATTTGCTGATACCTCTTTAGTCAGAGGCAAGTTGCGCAGTCAGTGGACTGTGTGCTCACCAGCCCTTCCTGCAGCTACTGCAATGGGCCACGTGCTGGATCTGATCTCTCTGCCCAGGGAAGGCCTGAGACTTTTGATGAGTGGAGATCTTGATACAAGTTTCCCCTGGGAGCACCCAAAGCTGTGGAGGTGCTGCTTGCCAGGGGCAGTGCTGTCGTCTTGACAGCAAATCCCCCTTTCCCAGGGGAGGAATGGCGGCAGCTTGCAGAGCTTTGCATGTTCAGGCACCTCCTGGCTGCAGCTTTGTGTGCTGGTGGTAGCCATGCTCCCGTTGCTGCCATCACGAGCTTTCTCCAAAGACAGAATAAAAATGGTCTGAGTTGAATCCTCTCAGAGGCTGAGCTGAGGACGCACGCGCTCCTCTCGCTGCAGTCTGATACATTGACACAGCACTGATGACAAAGTATTTGCTATGTGGGTCAAATGCGCTTGGGGGCCGTGGGCCTACCTGGAGTGCACTGTGCCAAGCGCTTATGTTCTAGGGGGACATTCCCACATCAGAATATTGCCTCCCATCACTGCAGCCGCAGACTTGTGGTAGAGATTTGCATCTGGCACATCGGTTTTGGACAGGCCTGTAGTATAAACAAACTGTGCAGCATGCTTGTGTCTGAGAAAACCAGCTGTGAGAAAGAGCAAAACCTACACTGTACTCTGATTTCAGAAGACAAAAAATGGATTAAGGACGACCATGCCTTTCTGCCCTCGCAAAAACCTCAAGACTACAGTAGAACTAGTGAGACAGAAGCTAGATGAACATGTTGTGTCTGAAGCCTACCATGAAATCAAAAACATAAATTCAAGGGGCAATAGTTCCCTAGGTGGCCTGCTGGATACACTAGCTGATTCTTCTAACGGGTGGTGATGGGGTAGATTTCTTTTTCTTCTTTTTTTCCCCTAAAATGTAAGCCTGAGTTCCAGAACTAGGGCATATTTCAGAAAAAACTGTGGGCTACACAGCATAGGCGTGTGCTTATGCAGTCATCAAAGGAGCCAAGCGCTGAGTGAATAGTGAGGTCCTCTTCTCTAAAGAAAAAGAGCTGGCTTTGTCTTTTGCTTCTTAAATAACTGAACTTGTAAATCTCACTATTAAAGCTACGATGCTGGGGCTGCCTGTTGTATTAAACTGCATCTTGTCTGAAAAGGTACGGAGACAGCCCTGAGCTGAATTTTGAAGGAATGGGGAGCAGAGTGATACAGCGAGTTCAAAGATTGTTATATGTCATGAGTAAGGATCATTCTCGCTAAGCTCTGGTTCTGGGCTTGTCTTGTTTAAAGGTAGGGTGTTCCAGAGCAAGAGACAGGTTCGGAGATTAGCATCGCTGCAAGCTTTGGAGACCAAGTGGATGGGGCACCAGCTCTCTGAACTGTTGGCTTCCCTGTTTGTTTGCCAGCAGAGGTCACTGCTCGAAGTGTATTTAGGGAAGCACTAGGCTGCAGACCTTGCTGACAGTGATGGTACAAAGTTTTAATTTAAGGATAGGGCTGCAGTTCAAAGTTAGGTACCGAGGGGGCTGTCGCCTCTCAGACCCTGGCAGGTAGGTCTGGGAAAGGCGTTATCAGTATGTGCAAAGATTGTTGCAGGAAGGGTAAGACCAGTCCTACAGCTAGTGCAAGCCAAACACGGCCGGGGAGAAATGGTGTGTCCTTGCCTTTATCACAGGGTTCCTGTGTGGTGCTTCAGCTCTTCACGGGTGGTCACTACTTGCAAGACTCGTTTTCCTCACGTTCCCTTTGGGACATAAAGGGTTGAGTTGAACTGAGGGAACTGGAGCTGTGCTCTACCACATGCAATGTGGGAAATGCTAAATAAGCTGGAGTGGGGTTGGGGGGCAGGGAGAGGCTCAGACCTTCTTTGTCACAAGTTTAGCACCCAAACTAAAGGGATGCTTTTGGCTTCTGGGCCTTTCCTGTAAAATGGGGCTTAGCCTACCCCCACCCTCTCTCGCCTCACAGGGATGTACCGTATGACGATAACTGGCTCTTGCCTACAAATCACTAGGCTGCTGTAGTGATGGACACCATAGAAATGCCCTAGAGAAAATGAATAATTCGGGATCCTGTGCAGGG